GGCCAAAAAAAAAAAAAAAAAAAAAAAATCCATCTGTTATGGGGGAAAGAGGCTTTTCACATAAAATTCATGCTGTATCCATCTTCTGCCTGGTAAATTAAGATACTGCCATCTAATTTTTCTCAAGACAAAAAAAAAAGCATAGACGACACTTGGATAAAGTATGCTGGCATAATCCAGTATGAAATAATTGTATATTTGTGCAACATTCAAAGACACGCCGTATGGTTAATACGCTACTGTACCTCATTTTGAAGTTCATCGCCACTTTTGGTAGAAGCAAGCATCTCGTACAAAGTACAGCAGAGGTCTTCTGTTGTTGGCCCTCCAGGGGTACCCCCTTGAGATTCATTCAGATACTTTCCAACTTCACACCATAAAAAAGAATCATCTACTTTTTCCGAAGACTTGGGATCAGATTTCTCATCACAGTAATTCTGTAAGTGATTCAGCTGGTTATTCAGAAATTTGTTATAATCTAAGCTTATAATTTTCTGCGCATCAGCCTCACCATTCACAGGCAGCTCCTCAGAGTGATCCAAATCATGCATGTCAAATGAAAACACTATATTTTTACCGAAGAACACCCTGTGATCACCATTTTGCTCTTCAGCCATCTGTATGAGGGCTGTAAGCTGTTCTTCAGTGAAGTGAGAAGCAATCCGACATGTGGCATTACAAGCTGCAGTAGCAGATGATGATGGAAACGGCCCAAACATCTGCTTGATCGCCTTTGTCTCATCATGACCAACACATTCTTTCCTGTGAAATGTCTTAAAGAGAAAAACAGCTCCACTTTCAATTGCTTCTTGTCCATTTTCAGCTCCAACTGTTAACAAAAGCAAAACCAAATGTAACTTCATACACTTCAAACTAATTCTCTTTCATTGCCTATAACATAATTGTATTCAATTTCTTGCTGCAAGTCTCATCAACAGACATATGAAACGAAGACCATAACAACAAGTAGCAATTGTTGCAAGGTACTGAATTGTAAAGGGTATATGATAATAAAGCATCTGTCTTCATTATTCTTCTACTTACTAGAAATTCATATTAAGGATTACCAATGCCTTCTTATTTTCCCAAGTAAGAGGAAAAACTTGCCTGAGATCTTAAACTCACAATAGTGTATTTACGAGCTTTTTAAAGGTAACAAATTTCCACTTTGTATCAATGTTTATTCACTGCCTAATCTGAATATTCATAACAGACTAAATGTACAGAACTCAGCTGGGAATTACTACATTCTTGTAACAATTCCCAGTAGAATTATTATAGAATGTGTGTTAGTTAGAAAAATTGCCCAAAGAAATTAAAACAAATAAATGCATGAATTTAGATTTATATCTACAAAATATCATATTATGCAAATTAGAAAAATATTATTAGAGAAAAACATGAATTTACCTCTTACACAAATATTCGCAAAGGTACTCAAGGAAAACATAAGCAAAACCACCGTATGATGAACCAAAATGTTATTACTAAACAAGATTTTAAAAGTCATCAAGCTTAAAATAAAGAAAAACAGTGAGCATACTGGGTTTTTTTGTTTGTTTTATATGAGGACAACATGCTGAATTTTTTTTGAAGTTTAAAAAATGAGTTCTAAAAAGTTGGGTAGGTTACTCCAACAGTTTTAGCAGAATTAACGTTTCTTACAAGATTGCATAATTTTAAAAACATCTTAAAAGCTTACTGTTGAGATTTACAAACTGCTATTGTCAAGATGTCTTCATCTGGTCAATTCTTTAGTTATATCAGGAGCGACCAGCATAGCTCCAGCAGAGACCAGTACTATTTAAGTGATAACACTGGTGATTAACACCCAGCATGGCTAATTCAAAAGAACTTTTAAAACGAACTATTTATTTTAAAAGGAACAATATTATTCATTTATTAAAACCTCAAAAAGGCACTTCTGGCATAGTAAATGTGGCTATTCTCTTTTCAGTAACCAAAACTGTCTTGTGCCTGCCTCTGTATACCTCTGCTATTCATTTATGGGCCTATGTATTTGTTCTACTATGTCCCTGTTTTCTGCCTGTTGAAAAACTTACTGAAATCAGTGGAAGATTTTTTAATTACTTTGGCATTGCTACTTGTGACTTGATTCAAAGTAAGTTAGGTTCTACTCTAGCAAAAACAAGGGGTTTCTCCCCCACGATGTAACAGGAAAGAACAAAAGAAATTCAGCATAACCAGATGGAACAAGGCTAAGTAACTATAAACATAACATATAAATGGAGACGCCTAAAAATTCAGTATTTCTCTTGAATTCCACTATGGTGCACCTTGAAAAGCTGAAAAGTTAATGGAGGGGATTGGAGATGATATTTACAGGATAATTAGATACCTACATATGGAAGATACATGACAAAGATACACACATGTACAATATATATGTAAATATATCTCAAAGGAAAAAGGTGGTTCAGCCTCCCTCTCAGCATTAGCTATATAGGAATCACAGGAAAAAAAACCCAACATCTGAAAACTTATAAGCCTAAGTTTGGCTGCATGAACCTCATTCTTATATTCCGAACATACAAATACACATCATTATTTAAAGTCACCTGTGTCAGAATAGAAGTACACGTTACTAAACTAAAAGAGCAATTGCTTTAGGATTTGAGAAAAGACTCTTAGGTTTATTATGTGCTAATTCTCCTTTATTATCAACATCTATTTGTGGAAGCATCTCTCGAGAAAATACTACCCCTCCCCCCCGAATATAATGAGCCAGCCAATATGGCAAGAGATGCACTACTTGAAGCTACTCTTCCCTTTTTGTTTTTAAGCCAATCAGATCATTTCAGTAAGTGACATTTTCCCTGTCAAGTAAATCAATATTACAGTATCTGTTGCCTAGGCTGAGATTTCATTTCCTTGAAATTAAGCTGAAAAGGCACACAAGCAATTCCCTTTCTCTGCTACACATTTCTGATTATGATGGTAGGAACATTACTGTCAGTTCAGTTTGTGCCTCAGTCACTGTAATCCATTCTGGTTTGTGTCTCCATAACATTACACATCTTTAGTCAGAAGTGTCAAAGCTGATGGTTTCTTTCTAACTTGTTCTAACTAAATAATCATGCATTTGTTTCCATTTGATTTGTCCTCTCCACTCCATCAAACAAAAATTTACTACTATTACTTTCAAGTCTTTCAATTTGTTCTACCTACCCACCACACTGGGCCTGCTATTAAAGTTTGGGAACAGGAAAAAAAAAAAAAATTTGAAGTTTTTGCAGCCATCTTTGGCAAAAAGTGCAAATAAAACCCAACCAAACAAAAAATCATAGCTAATACTCATTTCTGTCATTAATACAGAAAACACAAATCTGCCAAATTATTTTCACAGGTAACATTTGCAGCTAAGAATGGCACATACTTATTTTGCTTATAGCCTTTTTTCCACCATCAGACATTTTTTCCTACTTGCTATACTACATATGGTCATATTGCAAACTTTATAGTCATTATGTGTTTGTCAACCTTATCTTAACCAACATTTTACTCCAGTATGTTTTAGGATTAAACTACGCCCCGGTAGATATTTGGAACAACTATGTAGATCTTCTCCACTTATTCCAAGTTGTTTGTTATGGGCATAAATATTCAGATTAAAGGAAAATGACACTGCCAATTCTCTCCATAGCTCTTATTTACAGATTTACCTGTCTGCTGCGCCTGATTGGTATTTGAACCAGGTCCTTATTTAAACCTCAAAATTCTTCTCCCAGGTGAATCTCATGCTTATGTACAAAGTATATCTTGCAATGATTTCCAGATGAGCAGCTTTTCCTCAAAAACACATACTGAGTGTTTCGGTTACGTTACTTACAAAAAATTACTATAATATCTAAAATGAGGTCAAGTATGGAAAGTAACCATGTATTCTACTGGCTAAGAAACAAAAGCCACTACAAGAGAGCTGTCTGAATCACCTGAAGGGAAATGAACTTTTAAGTTCAGATTTACAAAAATAAAATATTTAGCATATTAGTAATGAATTTTATTCCAACAATAGACTTGAATGCTTTTATGCATTTCTGTAACAACTTATTATAAAATTATTTTTTATCATTGGAAACTGTCCTATATTTGTCTGTCATCAAAAAAGTTTTCCCTTTCAACCTGTGAGAATGATGTTAGGATGGGTACATATGTAACAAAACTGGCAACCAACTGGGAAAAAGTAATTACAGATGGATTGTTTATTTGAGAGGCAAAAAGGGCAGCAAGGACAAGTGCCAAGAAATGAGAAAAGGGGAATAAAACCTATGCAAATGTTGTCATTTGGACAGTCCAGGGGTAATCGTCAGGCAGCCCTGCAATTGATCACCACAAGCTGGAGCAGGACAATAAACCAACCTGTTGCTCTGACCATACCACATATTTCAAACCTGCTATCATGGTCAGGAGGACTGGGGACTGAGGAGGAGTTGGCTGCCTTTACTTGCTAGTAAGGGGGCATGTGGGACAGATGGATTAAGCATCCCCATAACACCATGTCAGTGCCTATTCCAGGTCTGATTGTGTTGGCATCTTCCTAACAACCCAATGTTATCCTAAAAAAAAAAAAAAAAAATCTAAATTGATCAAGTTATGGAAGAGAAGTCAGAAAAATGGAGAGTATAACTTTTAAAAATTACATCAATAGTATGCTGTTAAAATGGAGTGCTGAGAGAAATCTCATTAGCCTTTCTATATTCCGACATGTGTTGTTCATACAGACATTCCTAGACCATGTGTACCAAGCAGGACTTTCCCCTTCCCATCACAGCTGTGTCCAAAACCTGCCTTTACTATTGCAACACAGCAAGTTCTTTTAAGAACTAGTAAAAGAGCATGAATTCTGTGGGCAATCTCAAACAAACAAAGAAGTTAAAAAGATAACATTTATTTCTTTGATCAATTATCAATACAGACTGCACCTCTTCCGTATTAACTTTAGGCGTCGACAGTTGATGCAAACTCACTCCACATCGTGCATGACTTTCCCCCAAACCTTGCATATCAGAAGTGCCAGCTGAAATCTGTGCACTGAAACGGAGGTACTTGAGTTGGAGCAGAGAGGTGGCCCTTCCTAAAGGCGCCTCTGTCTCAGAAAGACAGGCAGCCACATGCTTAACTTCTGGCCTGAAGAGGTTAAAGTCTACTAACAGCACAAGCTCTACTACTTGTATTAGAAAAATAGGATTAAAAAAAATTAGGACCAAATTTGTAAAAATTACAGAGTTAGGTCATAAACATGGAAGGAACGAACCACAAAGCAAAGTTTAGAACACATGTATCATCAGATGAGTTTAAATCATTTTTGTCAGTGATTTGAGAAATTCTTGAAATTTTTCTTCTGATGACTCACTAAAGCAATAGCCGTTAGAACCATTAAAAGCTTTAATAGACATCTTCTGTGCAACTGTACAGCATGACCGATTACTGCATGCTGGATACGAATAACTTGTCTAGCCTGTTTTGAAAGTCTGTGTTTAGAAGTTTGTTTCTTTCTTAATTTGCTAGTTATTTCCAAAAGAACTGTCAAGAAATATAAACACAAGTGAGGCAGGTTAACATTCGGATTGTGATAAAACACACTCTGGTCTATAATGCCAAAAAAAAGCAAATATATTTATCCATATTAATTCTTTCCATCTTTTACTTCGGGTTCTGTTGAAGGTACTTGAAACATAACCACAAAAGGAGAAAATATACCTATGACATTGAAATGAAAAATTCTTAAATATGTGACAGCTAAAGCTTGAGCCATGTGCTCAGTTTATGAGCTGATGAAGTTAAATTCTGCTAACAGCACAAGCTGTTTCAGTCTGTAGATCAAAAACCTAAGTTTCCAATCAAAACTAAGTTTTCACACCTTCTTTGCCATAATGTATATTCAGTTTTAAAAGCTTAATTCCGTATGAGTGAAATTTATTATTTATTTCTCTCCTCAACTCCAAACACTTCACGCAGAAAACATTTTTTTACATTTTTATCTGCTTATGTAGCAATCCAATTTTTCATCATACCATTACGTGGAATTAAAGCAGATTAACACCGAGATTGTTTTTTTCTTAGATTACTGCCATTCCAAAAGAAGCTGTTGCTTTTGCTTACTAAAGGTCGATCACAAACCATACCACACACTACACAACAACACTATCAAAAAGCAAGAATATCCACATAACAACGGAATCATACTTCAAAATAAAACAGAAAACCAAATTGTGCATATACATATCAGATTAACTGGAGTTTCAAAGGTATTTCAGGGCAAGTCTGGTGTCAAGGTAGAACTAAAATTGTACCAGTATGCAAAGTATGCAGGCAGAAAGCAGCTTAAAAAAAAAAAATCACCCAACAAAACAGTGTATTATTAGACTACTAGAGAATGAAAACATACCTATTTGTTTTGCAGCTTGTAATATAGTTTTTAAATCACCATTTACAGTTTGGTGTTCTTTTTTGTCCAAATTGTCATCAACAAACTTTATTATCTTCTTCCAAGTAAGATCAGACTTCAGCAACTGTTCATGTAGTTTTGATCTTTTAGTCTGAAAATGCAAAATATTTGGGTGTTTTTAATTCATTTCAAATTAGTGTATGGAGGTTCCTTTAAAAGTAAACACCAGATAAAAACCCTTCTTTCCAGTTGCATTCAGTCAGTATGTAGTCAAGCGATTTCCCTATTACCTGTTCTTTACACCCTTTCCTGTGCGTAAGGAAGGAGGAAGATACACACACACACGCGCTCTCTCACTACTTTACTCCTTCCAAGGTGGAATTCCCTCTAAAGCCAAACTTTTGCAACTTCAAGAGATTTACAGCTCCCAAGATTCCAAATTCATTTAACATTACAGGTTCCCACAACGCATCTATTGCTTTAACGCATTATTTCTTGGGGAAAAAAAAAAGTACCTAAATTCAGTATTACTAAATTTATTCTAAACATCCCCCAACAAAAGTCCGAGGTGAACTTAATATTCAAAGGGAAACGCTTGGCTTCCCAGCTCTGCATAAGCTTGGAGCTAAAAACATACCAGCCCAGCCCAACTTAAAAAACTTCCTGAAACACGAAATAACAGGGCTGTACTAACACAGCCAACCGACCCTACCCATATAGCACATTATGATTGTAAGGGCCTAGCATAAATCACAAAACTATAGCAAATTTGACTGAGTGAGGCCACTATGAAGGAATGCACAGGAAACTATACACACTCTGCCCAGTCTCGCTTGCCTGCTCTTATAAAATAGCAATGCAAATTAAGAAAGCAAACAATTCTTACTATATAAACACAACTAATATTTTACAATTATGCTTTGGAAAAGAAAAAAATCTTTACCGTTAAGTCAGCTAATTCTTCACTGTAATCCTCATGTTTAGTGACATTTGAAAAGGAGCGTAAAGCGCCTGTAAGACGAGGCAAGGCCATCTGTTACTCGTTCAGTGATCCATAGGATGAGAAATTAAATCCCAGTTCAAGCACCTAGATGAGAACAAAACAAATAACATGGCTTTGTTAATGCTATAAATACAAACTCGCATCACGAACTTGAAAGACCTTTTTGAGCACGCAAACTTGGCTGGCACTTCAATTAAACAAGTTAAAATCTCTCTCAAAATGTTGATAATCAAGATTCAATAGAAGGGAGGTGAAAGGCACAGAGCATAGGCAAGACATGGTAACATGCCAAGGTCACTCAGCACGTTGTTCTTCTCTCTCCGCCCTAAGGAAAAGTTACCAACAACGAGGCAAGTGGCAGTTATTCCTTTAGCACCACTAACACGAGAGTATTACAGTGAAATCTATGTAACTGAACTTTAGCTCCCAACAGCAGTAAGCAATTACAACCTACGGGAAGATTTTCTCTGCACCAGCCCACACTGGGCGCTTTCAGGTCATTAACAGCCTCCGGCACTGATGCAGGGACATCCTTCCTGACAACTGCTTAGCCGTTTTTAACCAGCAAAACAGGCAAAAAAAATTATGACAGGAAGAAAAGATCGTAATACGCATAGCACTGAACTATTATAAGAGATAAAGGGAATAAAAGAGCTACCGGAAAACTGAAAAAAGTATGCCCGGGATGTTTTCATCGCACAACTGGGAGCATACACACACACTTGCACAGCGCAGGGCTCTCTCCGGGACTACAGCCTATTTCTGCGTGGTCTTATTTCCTGTGTGAAACAGGCTCGTATCTATACAGCAAAACACAGCTGTTCTCCATCTGAACTTGTACTCGTTCCAAGCCTTTTACTGAAACTATTCTCTAAGTTGTTTAATTTTGAAAGGTGCCCACTGCTGAATCGTTTAATGAACACTAATGCACAGATACAGTTTCTGATAGTAGCAGATAGATATAGATTATTTTTGAAACAATTAATGATACCATTACAAACCTAATGATCTGCATCATTCTTAGCATGCCTGAAGACCATCGGCCATCCAGAATTTAAATAACTTAAAACAGAGTTAATAAAATGACTTTTTTCCCCCCACACACAGTCATATACTGTAGAGAACTCCCTGCTTTAATCTAATTACCCTTAACATTTTTCTTCATTTAATGACCACATTTGTATTTTAGCTATCAGCTTTGCAATACAGCACAAAAGCAAGCCCAGACGCAGGGTTCCAGTCACAGGCAGAGAAATGTCACTGGCTTGTCAGGTCTGCTTGTTTGCCCACCTTGCATTAAGGTGCTTTTTGAGAACAGCTATCACAACAGCTGATATTTTGGAGACAAATGTTATAATGATGAAACTACAAAATGTGGAAATATAAAATCTTTAATTGTGACGGGGATAGGGAGGACATGTTCAAATTCAAGCCTAGAAGACGACAGAGCCAAGCAACACTGCAGTTCTTGAGATGTTCAGCGGATAGACGACATGTAATTCATACCAGCGTAGCTCCTAGTGAAAATGGCCTGTGAATGTTATAGCCACCAGTATACAAGTAGCGTGTCCAAAATTTGAGGGAATCTAACCCGACCTTTTTTGTTTTAACACAACAAAAATGGTAAATCACTCTCATACTGCTTCAATGACAGCATCGCCATTAGCTATTAAAGATCACTGCATTTTACCTATTTGTTTTATACCTATATATAGTGTATAAAACTGGGTCAATCTGTAGAAACCATTTTCCATAGATTTATGGTCCTTTACAATAACATATGACAACATAATTGTAATATTATCTTAGTTGTCCTTTCTGAAATAACATGCACAGTAATTTATGAAAATTCGAACACACTTTTGAAAAGTTCACTTTTCACACACACAAGGTTTTAAAGCATCTCCAGCAGGTCCATTTGTTAGAAAATCAAGTTTTAATGGAGTGTTTCTTACTCCTTTATTCAAGTAAGGGCACCCTGACTGCAGGCTTGGCCAAAGAGCCAAATCCAACCCCAAAGCCCTACAGCTGAGCTCATATTAATAAATGCTGCTCCACGCATGCTTTCAGAACTTGCCGGTCCCAGAGGGGGCTGGTTGGGCAGAGCAGCCACCCAAGGCTTCTGCACCTCACTTGCAGGCAAACTCCCTGTGCCCTTCGCTTCTGGTCCATGACACCTGCCCTCACCAGGGCACCACAAGAAAACAAAACCAGCCATCAATTAGAAAGCAGGAGCAATTACTCTATTGTTAACGTGAAAGATTAAGAACTTATGCTATTATTCTGCAACATAGTAGAACCAGCTGTAAATGCTGCGTCAAAAATGCTGCGGCCCTATGAGATGCAGCGTAAATTTACAATTGCTTAAAAAAAAAAATTAGTTACCTGCTTTCACATAAAGGCTGCTGATGTAGATACCTGCCTGCATCACACTGCCTTTACAGTGGACTAGCTACTGCTTATCTTCCCGCAGCCACCATAAGGGTAACTAATTCCTTCTGATTTGACAGAAATATACCTGTTTGCCTGCAGCTTGATCCAAAACATCTGTACTACCAAATGATCCCGCTAAGCTCTGCTAGTTTTGGAACAAGAACCTAAAAGGCAGCAGCGATTAAATCCTATTTACCAGGGCCCACATACAGAGATGCAAGATGAACTTTTGCTGTTCTTCTGCCCATTTCCCCCCTCGAAAAAAGGTGTGAGAATAGGTACCATCTTACTTCATGTTTGTAGAGGGACAAGCGGAATGGGAGTTTAACCTTAAGATCGGTGCAACTTTACATGGTAAAAATACCACCCCCTGCCTTCAATCAAGTAAGGACAATCTGGGCCCATTCTGCTAATGTTTTTTAGGAAAAGGAACCAAATTTTGACGATTCCTAGCACTATCTCAGACTTCCCACCTCTTACACTTAACTTTCCACTAAGCTTCTGTCCATAAAGCCGAAAGAGCAATATCCACCTTTCTAAAGCTTTGTGAAGATGAGAGGCGGTATCTTTTAAGGCCTATTTTACCTCTTTTTAAAAAAAAAAGTGATTTTAACATTGAAACTTTTTATGAGGGAAAGTAAAACATAAAAGCAGATTATACTCAGAATTCAGGTATGAAACCATTCAGACTTTATAGTTTGAAAGTAAACTTAACAGTAAACATGGATCATAATCTCAAAAGGGTTGGGTTTTTTTTCATTAAATTGAAAAATGTAAAAAATTGCTACCAATATTACAAAGGTAACTAACATTACCAGAGAAGTTTTCCACTTCATATTTTTACCAACTACTTAAGTTTTTCTCCTACTCTTGACCTTCCTATTTTCTTCTATAAGCAAATAACAGAACCATCTCTTTCTCTTCTCCACTGAAGTGTAACAGAGATATTCGTCAAAGAGTTTTTGTTGTTGCTGTTTTGTTTTAACACTTACTTATTTTAATTCCTATACTCTTTAACAAAACAAGCCAGCTGCCTAGTAGGGCTAAGAGCAGGGGATTGCTCAAACGTAGGTACCTTAATTTTCAAGCTAAAATGATGGAATAACAGAGTATTAACAGAACCACGGGTAAAAATCAGCAGTTGCACTATCCTAAAATACCAGCTTCTGTAGCCTCTAGCAGTCGGTGTGTTACAGGTCCCTTACAACCTCACAGCAGTCATTTAGTTTAAACTATTTAAGGAATATTAAGCCATGTTACCAGGTTTTGCCTATATTGCCTATAATTCTTTAAACTATTGACAAGTTTCTTGCTGTCTATGTAAACTTCTCATTTATAAAACCTGAAGAAGTTATTATTGATTACTAATCTAATCAAAGAACATTATAAAGAAAAAGAGGCTTTAGACATCGGCAATTAATAGCAGGTTGCTATTGACCACATAGTATTTGGATCAAATGGCATTTTTACTTTCACTTGTCAAAGTGGAATCGTTTCAGATGAAAAGGAAGCTAAAAAGGCAAATGATATCCCAGCCATAAGGCAATAAAAAAAAAAAAAAAAAGACCAATGCAGTAACTTTTTTTGTACTTTAAAGACATTTAAAAACCATTAAAATAAATATTAGCACAGGATTATCTAAATCAAACACAAAAGCAGCAAGACTGTGAGGACACATTAAACCATTTTAAATATATCCACACACTGAATATTTTACTTCTTTACTGTGCAAGAGGAATAAAAATACATAAATCCTGAATCATTAAATTTTAGCGACATGCACACCTTTTAGAATTGCTACAATTAATCTCAGCAGCTTCATTAACACAAAGGTAAGCTTCATATTTTATTCACAAATAAGTCTCAATATTTTAAAAAAACCACATTCTATTGGTGTGTATTTCTCACTGCCATTTTCAAGAAATAAATAAAAGCGTTAGATGAAAAAGCTATTTTACAACAATAGGGACAGTTGTATTAGATTCACTTAAACTTCTTATCCAAGCATGTTTGATGCAAACAGTACAAATACAGCAGCACCGAAGCACCGAAGTTGACAGCCAGGGATAATAGTGGTTTAATAATGTCTGGGACATTAATCATAAACAGCAGGCCAAAGCAAGATACTACAATATCAATATTTTCCAACTTCGTATTTTGCACCTTTATAAGCAGTGTTATATGATGTAGCAACAATTGTACACTTTCAGACATCTAATTTTCTGCAAAAGGCTCAGCTATCACACTGGAATTCTCTCAAGTTGTCTGGGTCGAATATTGCTGATCTCCAGTCAAGACCGGGTCAATCTCTGAAAGCAAGATGTCAAGATTAAGGAATGTGTATTCAGGAAGAAATAGTGGCTGCCTGATACATGGTATTCACCTCAGTGAATACCAGAATTCAAACAAATGCTTTAGCATAATGAGGAGGCATAACAGTGCCTGTGTGTGCCATCATTCGTGTAAGAGACAATTTCAGGATCTCAATTATGTAAGTCACTAACATCCCCCCCCCCCCCCCAAAAAAAAAAAAACAAATAATGGAATTGCAAGCCATGCATTCAATACAGTATTAACCCTTTCCAGATTCTCTCTCTCGCAATCTTAGCCATGCACATAGGATTAAACACCAGCTGCCTAACACTGTTCCT